GTGCGTAGGCAACCCATCGAGCTGCCGCGTATTCTTACGGACACCCGGTATGTGCCACTTATTGATGACGAGAGCAGGAGGCTGCGCTGCAGGGGGTATCGCCGCTCAGGCGCTAAGGGTAGGCCACTATCTGCACACAGACACTTGGCGGGAAGGCCTACCCGCAGGCGTTGTCATTAGGAATCGTTCGTACTGCGAGGGTGACCCTTCCGTCATTTTTGGCCCAAATTCAATATTTTTTCCATTATTTCCTCCCCTAAAGTACCATAGAAATTGACACTCAGGAAAAAATACTACCGCCAGTCGTCATTAACATAGATAAGAAACAAATATACCGTGTTTGGGCAAGATCGGGAATTTACACTTGCCTAAGCCCCCGTGTGAGAGCGCCTGGAGGGTAGGCAATCAGTACACAAGTTGTCCCTTAGGTTTGGGGGGGGCCCGGGCCCCATTGTGTTAGTTCAGATGCATCCGGGGATTATGTGCAGAGCAGGCCCTTGCCTTCTGCTTACACCCTGAAGGCTTCGGATTTCATGTTAGGCCGACCCGAAAAGGAATGTTCTATAGTCGGGTCGGGTTAAGCTGACTCTGACCGCCGGCATTGTGTGGCCCCAATAGAGGAACGTTTTGAAGATGCTCCATTACCTGTCGTGGGTCACAGTTTAACCAACGTACGCGTCAACCGTCTCACAAACCCCGGGAGTATGTTCTGACCAAGTGCGGTTCGGCTGATCCTTTACGAACTCAGAAGTCGCCCTGCGGTGGGACGAGGAAAGTACTCCTCCATTTTTATTTTTTGAAGTTTTGTCCGGCATGAGTCTTTCCGACGCCTAGCCGACTTATTTCTACAGTCGGTTCTGATCAAAGCTGCCTGTGGCCGTGTCGGTTGTAGCTACAACTGTGTCGCTACAAACAGGGACGTGGCCCCCGACCCGTGCGTACTGCGTGGGGAACGTCGGGGCAAGTTGTGGCTGAGGGCGCCTGCGGAGGGGGCATAGGCAAGCCCGCAGAGCTCGCGAGTCCACCGGGACGGCCTATGCGGCAGGCGCTCCCTACCATGTTTCAAGAATTCAAAATTTGACGGTAATTGGTCGGGACCTTGTTTCTCTGCGAAGGGTCGGCTTTTGATGGAACCGCTGGTCGTATAGTTTCTCACAGTCTATTCC